AATATCCTTAACCCAAGATAAATGGCTCATCAAGTGACACAAGTGCATTCTGATCAACTTTGCTGGTCTTTGGACTAAGTTCACCTACTTCAACACATGAGCAAGGAACAGCTGCAAAGGTCAACTTTAAGGAGACCTAGTGAAATCATAGATTGGAAACATCTGCTTTTGTACCATATGATTTTGAATTTATATACTACTTCCATTCTTTCCATTATGAATCCTACTTTTTCCTTGCATGCTGACTATCACTTATGAAAACCACTGTTACGGTGTAATGTAAACAAAACTGTGAAACCCCCTAAACCACATCTGAAAAAAAATTCCTTCTTGTAGTTTATGGAACAAGCTTGCCCATCTGCACCTACAGCTCTGACACTTGAAACGACAAATGAAATTAAATGAAAAAGCAAGCTTTTCATGAGAACTTCAGCAAAACTTCACTCCTAACAGAATCCCACAAGGAGAATTTTCATCTGAGTAAGTATTTTGTTAAGTCCAGTTGACACCAAATCTCACTTGTTCAATTATGTTTAGACATGGAATAAAAATAAATAAAAATAAAAATAAATAAAAAGGCCCAACAGCAAGTCCTGAGGTTTGAACAATTCCTGGTATTTATTTGGATCAAAACCAAAATCTTGTGCCAGAGCTGGATGGCTACTCTGGGGAGTGCCTGACATTCACTCTCCTCTTGTTAAACTAAGAGGGTCTAATTGTTGCAGAAGACAATACAGCGCTTGTACTCCTCACTCAAAATGCTGCTTCTTTGGAGGCCTTGTCAGTCAGAATCTCAGCACCTCTTCTGGTGATGTACTAGCTTAATGCTTGAATACATTAATTTTAAGGAATTATTTTGTATTTAAGCCAATGAGTTTGGCCCATTTTATCCCTTAATCGAGTGAATTTGTGTGCATATGATCTGAACTATGTATAACTGAGTCTCTGAAAATCCTGATACTAAGTCCTCAGTTGTACTGCATTTTCAGGCACAGAGATGAATATAATCAGGGAGAGTGGCACAATGAAGGTAGACTATAGGAGGGATCAGGGCAGAGAGAATTATTCTGAGAAAGATCCTAGCTATGCAGGCATCTAACAGCTATGCGGCTGCCGAAATGCTGAGCTTTTGTTATTCCAGAAAAATCTGTGGGTTATATGCATGAAAATATGGTAATCAGAACAGTCCTGGCTTCCCACAAGAGCATCGCAGCTGCAGGAGCCTCTGCCAGCTACGGAAACTTCCATTAGCCTTCCCGACATCACAAGCCAATATTTATGTATATCTCTCAGGGTGAAAAAAATAAAAGAAAAGGTGTAAAATACATCATAAAGTCCATAGGTCAAACGTTCTATTTCAGCTGAAATGCCAAGAATTAATTATATGAGTAGCAGCACTACAGTAGCATTCTCTTATGACTCAAGTTAGGGGTAGGGTCTTACAGAGCTCGTGCACAAGCGAATGCCCAAAATGTCTGCCTCAGCCTCATATCACCTTTGGAACAGTGGCAGTGGTCTTATTTCCTTGATTAACTAGAGGCTGATCAGGGAGAGAACATGTGGAAAGGCCACCATTTCAAAAAAAGAAAACCAAAACCAAAGCAAACACACACAAAACCAACACACAAACTAAACATAACACCAAAACTTCATGGGCTCTGTACTACATTTTTGTCACAGAGAAACAATCCTCAATTTAACGACAGACTTGTGTTCTACTTTTGCAGACACTTACAAGAGTAAGTATTTGTATACAGATCTACAGTGCCTTTGGTTTCATTCAAGTCTTAGCTGGATCAAATCACTGAGGTAGAAGAAAGAAGAACTGAGAAAGCACTGTATTCTATTGTGTTCTTTTTATGGCCTGCTTATATTTGTGTTGATGGCAACGGATTTGTGGAACTCAGCAAAAGTATTAAAATTTATAAATCTTGGTTTAGTTTCCCAGAAATCCTCCCCCAAAAAAGGTAGATAAAAGTAAAAATTAAACTAACTGCTTCAACATTGCGTAGCATGACCATGTCTTGCTCTGCAAGTTTTCTAAGTGAGAAGGGGATCCGGTTCAGAGTCTCTTATGAGGACACTGTAAATATGTTTGCTTTTCAAATGTGTAAATGAAGTCCTTATATTTAGTAGGTTATGTGCAAATATAATTAAAGCCAACTCAGCAGGTCACATCTGTTGAATCCTTTCCTCATGTTTCTAGTGCGTTACTCGGAGGGTTCTAAAGCTACAGTTGCTTTAGAGTTACTCTGCTGCTGACAGAAAAAGCCACCATACTGTAACCCAAAGATGAGGTGTCAAATGGAGGTTCTGTGCCATGGCAATCTCATTTTAAAACAAGGCAGACTTGTCCAGGTGAAATGGCAAACTGAACAGGCTAGGTCCTCAGCTGATGTATGTAGAGCTCATGGGGTTTATGCTGTTCAGTCACCAAGAGTTTTTTTGGTAAGTTATTAGTCTATATTTTCCAGAATAAAAACCAGTGATTTTGCAATAAAATGTTAATTGCTGTTGACCTAGGTTTTCACTTTGGCATAGGGATTTAGTGGCACTAAATACTGACAGAAGATACAGAATAGAGAGGAATTATTGATTACAGAGTGTATTGATCCAATTATTTTCCTGCCTTAAAATGTATATTTTTATAAACATTTAATTTTAGATACTCTCAGCAGATATCAGAATTGGGAAAGCAGATATCTAGGGTGAATAAAATTCCTGTTGCAGTTCTTCATTCTTAAACTAGCAAAGACAGATTAATTGTAAAATCCTGCACTTGAAAAATTGAATAAAAAATCTGAGCTACACAGCAAATACGCAGAACTTCAATTGATTTACTGAGTTGCATTTTGAGAGTTACTGTAATTTACCTTTCAGAACTCTGGCACTAGGGGGTAAGATTTGATGACATTACTTTCTACTGCAAAATCCATCATGCTACTCAATATTTAAACCCTGTGCTGTTATTAAGGACTACAGTAGATACTCATCACCAAGATTCATGTTGCCATGCAAATCCTCAAGCACAGTGAGTGATTCAGGTGGTAACTGAATATGAGGAAAAACTACTCAAAAAGTAGGCACCTTGTAAGGAATCAGGTAAGTGCATCAGGTAAGGAATTGTTCCCCATCAGAGGATATGAAGCAAAAAGGTTCTACATCTTTCTGAATGCAAAGAAATTGAGTAAGGAGTGAAAGATGGACATAACAGCCTGAACAGGAACTGACTCCCACCTGAATTACTTGGTATAAATCATGACTTGGCTATGCTGTTTCCTCAGCAGCTTTATTCACATATTGGTGGGCAGGTAACAGGTTGTAACTGTTCTGTCAGGAAACATCATTAGCAATTTGAAACTTGAGGAAACCTAGTTTCAAGCTCAGTAGTTGTCATGATTCATCAAGTCTTTGTAAAGGAAAGGCAATGTCTAAGCCATTAACTACTAAGTCATGATCAGTTTTGAGAAATACATTACTTGACTGAAAAGTTCATTATTTGTGAAGTTAGAAGCAAAACAGCAAGTTAACTAAAAATCTGACCTTTACTTCAAGGCGATTTCTTTTGTGTGTCATACTGTGGCATATTACATCTAAATTCTCTATCACTTTTTGGGACTTCTCTCGATTGGAAAGCCACATTCCTCACGCCAAATGATTTTTTCTTTGTTATCAGCCCACCTAATTGTAAAACTGAAGTTCTGAATTGCAAAATTAAAGTTAGGTAAATCTTTTTCTGCTGAATATTTTTTTCCATCAGCTCAGGAGGAGAGCTAATCCAAGGAATTATATACAAGTTTTTACTCTTTTCCTGTCCGTTGACAGGCTTAGAGAAAAGAGAACATTTCAAATGCCTGCTCCCCTGCAGGATGTGTAATGTGTCACAGGCATGTCTTATGATACAGCGGAAGATGACTATATTTCTCAGTTTTACATTGCCCTCATTGTTCTGTATTTCCTTGATACTTAATCAGACTTGATCCCTTCTCCTTGTACACCTTTCATGAAGTGAATAGGCCTAATAAACTTGTCACTGATACCTGGAAAAACTTGGACCCACTGACAAAATTAGATTCTAGCCTTTAATATTTATCACACTGCCTTAAAGTCTGTATCAGAGTGCCATATTGTGCTTAAAAAAGCTGTAAATCAAGGAACCTACGAGCCTTTTCTGAACGTCCTAAATGCAAAGCTCCATCTCCATCTCTCTTCTCCAACATGAAATAGAACAAAATCTGATTTATATAAAAGAGAATGATTCAGGAGAATTCTCAAAACCTTGGCTTTTAAAATATATCATGTTATACAGCTACAGTCTTTACACTTCTCTCTTTTTTCCCCTATTCTTTGACAAATGTCCTGGTTTCCTATTTGTGTTGGTGGGGAGTATCTATGGGTTAGATTATGTCTTTGCAATCTGCCTGCTGGGAGTCACAAAAGATCTTCTGACTTACCTCATGTTTGTATACTAATTAGCTTTAGGTTCTTTACAGCTCCTGAATGGGTGGTGAGGCTCTAGCACTAGCCATGATATGGAGAGGACATACTCAAGCACATATAACACACTTTAAAGCAGAGGCACTTACACAGGAAAAAAAATCTACTCTTTTCAGGCCCTGTAATTTTAGGAATTGCCTTTAGGTATTACAGGTATGACGTTTTTGGTTAGAAAAAGTATTTTCTAAAGGGTGCACTTCTTCAAAGGCTGTATTTTGTACAGCAGTAACCATCACAAAGTCCTATTTTCCACAGCATTAGCACACACAGAATCACAAAGGAATAAGTCCATCTGACAAAACATTGCCTCTTTGTAGAAAAGCAAAAATGTCTCTCACCAAGATTAATATACTAATCCTATCAATATCTGCCTGTGTGCTTAACTTTATGCACAGAGTCAATGCATATTAAAGTTAAGTATGTGAACAGTGTTTGAAGAAGCAAGGGTGAAATATGTATGCAAATATCATTTTGGTTTGCATGGTACTATTACTTGAACCTACCTTCTCCTTGATATTTACAGGAGAATTGATTTCTGCCATCTCTCTTCAGGTGAGAATATTGTCTGTAAAAAGAGAAAAAAAAATAATAAATTTACTTGGAGGTTTTAATCCCAACCTGTCAAAGCTACACCTATAAAGACTAATGCTTATAGGTAAGCAAACACAATTAGAGAAACATGAGAACACTGAATGTCCTGCACAGCAGTGCCCAATCTTGCCAAAAAGCAAACATAGTCCAAATTTCATACTTTCCCCAGATTAGTTCTGCAAAAACATTTTTTAAATGCCTCATAGTTATGAATCTGGATACAAGGGGTATCATGCTTCTCCCAGCCACGTCTCTTGGACCCTATTCATTATTGATACCTTTGAAACTTTTAAGAGGAGGAATACCTTAGACGAACTCAACAGCTCCTGTTTTCTCATTCACCAGCAACCTCAATTTTTTCCAGAAAATTTGTCTGAAGATCCCATCTTAAAAAGCAGCTAAATGTGCCAGGAGGTTAGGCTGACAAGTGCTGCATGGCTGTTTGTTTGGGTTTTTTTCAGGACTAATTCAGAGGATTTAGCCACACAGCTCCTATTGAAACTAACAGGGTCTGTGTAGTTAAATCTCCAAGTTTGCTCTGAAAACCTGGGCACATGAATGGAATTTGCATGTGATTAAGAAACCCTGCAATATGCTTTCTACTTCCAGTTATGTGGCCGGGTAAGTGCACATGATGAAGAATTAATACAGGAAAGGGAGTCCAGTTGCCTAATCTTGATTCCATCAAAACCAACTGCCTGAGATCAGTAAGGAACAGGCTTGAATCTTCGCATTTTAAAATTAAGTCACACACAAACAATTACAGCAAAGACTAAGTCAAAAAGGAATAAAAGCTTGGTTTGGTAACCAAATTTAACTCTATTTACACTGAAAGGAAGGTACAGATGTACGTAAATAAGAACGAAATCTTAGTTCTTTCCAAGTATTTAAAGTTGAAACACTTTCTCCTTTTTCCCATTTGAGCCCTTTGCTATGTGAACTGATATTAGAGTTCCCGTAATTCTTCTAAATCTCTTTTAATGCACTTAAACAATCCTCCCTTAACTCCTGCTTTGAAACACAGCACTTCAGTGGAGTTCAAAGTCCAGAAACTAAGTGCTTCCATTACAATATCCACTGATAGCATTTAAATCTTGTTATTAACTTTTGTATGCATCTGTTTTCTAATTAAAGAGATGAAATTCAAGGAAGCACACTTTCAAAAATAACATGACTTTATTTGCGGTAAATGGGGAAAAGATGATAAGATGAAGAAAAAGGAATGAATTTTTGAGTTTTGGTCTGGTGAAGAGCAGACATCGAGTTATGGAAACCCACAAAAATAAGGTGCCAAAGGAAAAAAGTAACCTTTTCCATTGCCTATTATTAAAAAAAGAAAGAAATGCTTGAAATGAGTACAGTTCCTCCTGCTATCTCTATTTTACTATTAAAAGTCACATACCTTATATCTGTCTTTAGTCTGTAGCTCAACCACTTTGTCAAGACACTGAGCTGGAGTCTCACTACATCCGATAAGACTTTGCCTGGTAACTGGGCCACTCTGTCACTCTGAATGATTTACTGTCTGCTGGTATCTCAGATCAGAAGGTTTCCCCACCCGCTCTTAAATCAACGACGAAAGAGCTGAAATTAGTTTGTCAAACCCACCCAATGGCTACAAGCAGAGTTATAAAATGTCTGGACTGAGCAGGAAGGAAGATCATATGCAATATGAGCTTGGGGCAACTCCATTTCCAATATATAGTGTGTTCCGACAACTAAATGAAAGTGTTGAGAAATGATTGTAGTCTGTAGTCCCTATATAACTTTTTTTTTGATGTAGTACTTGTCTTTTGCTGTCAGCTATTTCTCATCTCAAGCATAGAATATGAGATATAGGTCATCAAATTTCCCACGCAGTCTGGAAAACTTAGCTCCAAATTTACTCAAAATCTTCGTCTCCCATGTTGGACTGGTATTATTCTCTGTTTAATAGCCAATCAGATGTTAAGGAATAGTTATTTGACTAATTCGTCCATACATGTAATATCTAGCAGCGGTTTTAATGTGACAGACAACTGATGGATGCCTGCCCTCTGGAATTTGATCCAATACTTTATAAAAACTTTAACAAAAAAAATAGGAAAAAAACTGTTCTTGAGGAACCAACCCACAGTACAGAAACAAGTACAATAAGGATTATAGCTAATAAACCCTTCTGGCCTTAAAAGTCCATTAATCTATAAAAAAAAAATAAATAATGGGAAAATATTTTGTCACCTGAAAACTTCAGATTTTGTTTTGCAGCAAAAATTTTACTGGTTTTGTACCAAAAATGTACATTTTAAAAATACATCTTGAATGAAGGAAATTAATCCCAAAAATCGTACTTTGTGAAAGCCCCACACCTCTCAAGTTATGTTGCTTCAAAGATAATAGCTAAATAATTCTTCAAATTTAAATTCAATTTGCTGATTAAATGCTATCACAGCACTTTGACAAATTTAGTCTTTGTGGCAACACTCTGACTCAGTTTAAAATCGTCCTAAAAGCTTCATACAATACCTTGCCAGATTTGACTTGTCTCTTCTTTGCTGTATGCTCCAGGTGTTACTGTGATTATAGTCTTCCACAGATAAATGTGGTGCTGATTCAGCTACCTTGCAACTGCAAGCTGTTTCAAGACAACTTGGCAACCCACATAAAACATACCCTCTGTTTCTCCCCTCCTCTCTCTTTTTTTTTTTTGCTTTTAAGATCAAAAATTAAGAGGACATCAGCTTCTACAAATGCACCCATTCCTCTAACGCTTCAGATTCTTGCTTAATATGCATATTAAAGCTGTCAAAATTAAGATGCTACAACTGAGTTGGAGCTATTTTCCATTCACCTTCTTCAAGGACAGATAATGAAATAACCTGCATAAAACACTTGCTCATTTATATAACTCAGTCCAGCACTGCTTCTTACATGAAATACAAATGATACATTAAAAGGAAAATGTTAACGTTTTACTAATTTTTAAAACTATCATTTATGGCTATACTTTATAGCTAATAAATTTAAATTTCTCATTGTGGCACAAACTGATTTATTCAGTTAATTGGTATTTTTCCTCTGATGATATTTTAATCTCTGTATTGAACAATTACTGCCTTTCTAATCCTGTGACAAAAGATTATAGTATGTGAATAATTTTATGAACAAAATAGTCCCACTGAAGTTTAGAAGACTTAGCTCCAGGCTTGGATCTAAATTTGAGCTGCTACATTCTCATCCTGAACTCTTCAGAGAAACTTATTTTTGCCTGAGCTGTAGAACATCAGAATATGATGAACCCTAAAGCCAGAGAAGAACAGTGCTTTGCACGACACTAACAGCGTGCATACAAAAAACCCCTCACATACAAGAAGTTCTCAGCTGGATGTCAGCTTACATGCTTCATCTTTCTCCACACCCCTTACTTGTATTTGTGCTCCTGAAATGTCACTGTATGTTGTACGATTTCCATGAAAAAGGAATGAAAGAAAAAAAGTACTACAGAATCCATTATGGGTCATTAATTTCCGATACAAATTTCCGAATCAGTTACCTGGAATAGGAAATTACTCTCAGTTGCTTGATACATCCTGACCTCAAATACTGATGGAAGGGTGTTATTTCTATACCTATTACGCACATCCAAATGAGACATCTTACTTGCCTTGTAAAATAAAGCATTTAAATACAACAAAAAGAAAGTATGCTGTAGAGGCACTTCAAGGGAATGCTGGAGAGAAGATTGGATTGAGTATGGTAGAGCCTTACTTCTCTCCCCTACCAAACGAAGCAATTCTTATTACTCTACACAGGTTTAAGCTAACATGAAACTGAACTGAACAGCAGCTAAGGTGCTGGGGCGTGCTCTGTCCTGCTGACCTTACTGCAAGCAGTAATGTCCAGCAGGGCAGACAGTTTAACCACTGCAGCAAAATATGCTAGAGCTCACCTGTCAGAGTCTTAAATATGTGGCTGCTTGACCAGACTTTATAGAAGTTTCCTTTCTGTCTTCAAGCAGCTCTGAAACCCTACTGCTGCTGTATTCAACCTCTGAAGAGCACCTGCCACCCTTCCACTAGTACCACCTTTGGAGGTGTTCGGCTCACCTTCCAGCTAGATACACCTTGGGGTAAAGCTGACAAACACTCCATTTCCTACAACACTTCGCATGGGTGCGATTGGTCACATCTGAAGCATCAGAGAATCACGAGACCAAGTCTGTACCCTGCCCCTACTGCAAAGCCTGGCAATTACTACCTGGCACACTTACATTTCAAACTTAGAAACAATATCAGAAGAAGAAGAAACATGCTCCCCTCCAACAAAGCAAAAAAAAAAAAGAATCTCCTTGCAAAAACACAGAGTGGGAAAGGAGTTTATGAAAGCGTAAACATTGCCAGAACTACATGGTTTGTGAAAATACCCTGGTAGTAAGCTCTATCAGAGTGGAGGAGATTTGTGTGACATCTGTTCCACCGACATCCGAAGATACAACTTATCTTTGACAATGGGGAACAGAAAATTCCCCAAGAAACAGCATAGGACAATCCAGTGTTAGAAGAGTTTCACATCTGTAGGTTTATGGATGAATAGACTTTTACACCCCAAAAATGACATATTTCTTCACCTGCCCACTGCAACATTTTCCTTTTATAATGCTCTCCCTGGCAACAGAACAACAGGAATCCCAGGTCTAACTGACTTGACCCTTGCCAATACTTCTCAAATTCCTGTCTGCTTCTGCAGTCATTTGCTGCACCTTGTGCTAATCCAATCCTTCTTTTCACTGTGCTAATTTCTTTCAAATGTCCCATGCCTAACCTTTCCAAAGTTTCACACAGCACCCCCAAAAAGCCCTCTGCCAGGTTCTTTTGTGCTGCCCTGTTTTTCCCTTTTACAAGCCAGGCGACCCCATGGCAACAGACACTTTGGGGGACAGTACAGCAACACAAGACAGGAGATAGATACATGGACCTACCATTTATAAACTTATCA